GACCACCTTGGCCAGATCCGCCTTCATGAGGTACGGTCACAGTTGGTGCACGACAATTGTGCAAAGGCCCTCCTGGCCACTGCCGACGCCTGAGCCTCAAGCGTAAGTGATGAGTCCAGGAGGACGCCCAGGCTGCAGACCTGTGACTTCAGGGGGAGTGCAACCCTGTCCAACACAGGTTGCCACCCTATACCCAGATCCGGTTTACGATCGACCAAGAGGACCTCTGTCTTGTTGGGATTAATCTTCAGCCTGTTCCTCCTCATCCTGACAGCCACAGCGGCCAGACACTCGTGCAGCACCAGCGGGGCTTCCTTGGAATTGGGTGGAAAAGAGTAGTAGAGTTGTGTGTCATCTGCATAGAGATGGCACCCAACTCCAAAACTCCGGATGACCTCACCCAGTGGTTTCATGTAGATGTCTCTACCAGGAACAGATTGTAAGGTGTCCAGACCCTTCAATATTTTGAAGATGAGAACCAGAACATGTGTTGCCAAGCCAATGAGAATGTGGTCAAGGTGACAAAAGCCGCTAAAGAGGAAAATCAGAGAAGAGGCTGCAGGCGTTTGCATTTGGATGAGCCTACTGAGAAGGCCAAAGATACACATCTCATCTTTTCGCTGAGTTCATGAAGCACAAACTACTTTTGCAGTTTGCATTCAGTAAGCCAAGAACAAATGCAAGAAGGAGGAGGGGGAGAGAAAAACTGGGACATTTTACAAGCGTCTGAAAAAATGGGATGAGAGAGAATATATTAGGAAGACTTTTGCTAGAATTGTTCTACATTCAAAACCCAACTCTACTTTGTTACATCTCCTCCATAGTTTTTTTTAATCTATACTAATGGAGATCATCTTCCTTTGGAACTGGAGCTGCCATTATGCCTTTTCACCGTTTTCTATCAATACAAATTTCAGAGAAATTTCATCTTTCTGGGCAAGACATTTCTCATTTCATTTACATGACACTAATTTTGCTTCTATAGATGACCTAAAGGGAGAAAATGTAGTTTCTGACCTTTTGGAGCATTAGCAAAAATAATCTATTCATTTGGCATTTAACAAGGGAAGAGCCTCCTTGCCTTTTGTGCCGGTGTGTTTTTTTTCCTACTGCAGGTAAATTTGGATGCAGCAGTAATTTTTCCTTCCCGGATAATAGCCCACCAGAGAGGCTGGAAATTACTGAAACCCTTCTCTATTGTGTGGAAAAGATAATCTGCTTTCTGCCTGACTTCTTCCCAATTGTTCTCACTTAGATGGAGCATGCAAAATAAAAAAAAAAGGAGTACAAATGGTAAGAGGCAGTCAAAGCAATTGGAGGGATATATGGAGATGACACCCAGGACGAGATGGCTTTTTAACAGGGTGTCATTTGGAGTTTTGTTCCCATACATCTGCGAGAATCACTGTTATTAACATGCACTTAATAATGGAGAAATTCAAAATGACATCCTTTGCATTGCTAGCCCTGTGTTTATATCTGGTCGTCTCTCCTTGGTAATGCCCTGGGCTTTGCACACATTGATTGTTTTGAGGCAACATCATCTTTACAAATGTATGGCCATGAAATAGTCACCGGACTATGTTCAGATCCAGAAGGTTAAAGCAAAGGAAGAGACAAAGGAGGGGTGCTAAGGTCAAAGGGACCATGCAAAGCATGTGCAGAAGTCATTTCCTTTGCTGCATTGCATTCCATTGTATGTACATGCACTTTTCTCTTTCTTTGGAACTCAGGGTTGGCTCACAAGCAAACACACTCAGGCCCAACCTAGCATCCCATGAAAAGCAATTTGCTGCAGGGAGCAGCCACGGAAAGGGTCCTCACCACATGAGCCTTTGATGAAGACAAGTCTAAGAGAAATCCTTCATTTGAAAGTGTTCTGTCGCGCGCTGGGACTGTAAAAACTGTACTTTTCTATAGGACGTATACTTTAAGCCCAGCGGGAAGCCAGGGCGCCTCAAAGAGAGGTTCTCAGGGATTTTTCTGAAGTGATGGTCTTTAGAGTCTTTAATGATACAACAAAGTCTTTATTATGGAACAAACAACAAATCTTCAATGGTTCAAACAACACTTCAAGACTTTCTTAGTCTAGTCCTCAATGGACTGGTACCTGACTTTGATTAACGAAACTTTCTCTGGAGGAAAAACCCTTTTTAACCTCTCCCAGGCTGCTTTCTATCTATGCCTCATCGGTGTGGGACCTACTACCGATTCCAAATGCATCTGGGTATCGAGTAGACCTACCAGCCAAGGCTTGAAGATATTTCAGCTGGAGTTCTGTGGATCTGTAATGCTGTTCTCCCTTCGAGAATTCTTAGAAACTTCAGGGCTGTTCCCTCTGATGCTGTGAGGCTGAGAGGCTGTGAGCTCTCAGCCAGAGCTTTTGGGACCTTTCTCCTGGAATTTCTGCTTCTGTATCCCCGGATGTTACTTTTTCCCTGGATGGTTATTGAGAAAGAAGCTTTTCTACGGGACGAGCTGGTCTACGTCCTATAGCTTAGCTACCTTGTGTGAGACTGCCCAAAAAATGGCTCCTTTCCCTCCCAGAGCCCAGAACAAGGGGCGGAAACAAAGCTTAATTATGATGGACAGGAGGCATGTCCTATGACTGCAAAACAGATAACAGAAAGAAAATAAAGTTGGAGCTCCTGGTACAGCCGTATCAGCACAGAAAGACTTAAGACTCTAGCAGGTTTGTATAGGAAGACACAATATTTTGAATACCCTGGACCTGTTGGCCAAACTATTATTTAGCATGCATAAGTTTCCGGGTTCAATTATAGGTTTCATCAGTTATGACAGTCTTTTAGTAGTAGAAATTTGGGTGAAGATGAGAGTAGAAATGTTTGGAGAGATCTCACACTTTGACGGTCTTCTAAATAACACACACATCAGTACATGCTAATTGTCAGCCTTCATGCTAAGAGTGTAAAGTTGTGTCTAGTCTTAAAATCCCCAAAGAAAAGCAGAAGACAACAATTTAAGCATAGGAAACAGCAATCTAATTAAGCACCGGAAGAAACAATCTGTTTGGGGCCCTCTTCTCAGCGTGGGATTCCAACCAGGAGAGCGAAAGAGGAGAATGCAAAAATGTATGGTTTCCAAACATAATTCGATGATGGCACTCAAGATGGCACTCAAGATAGATATAACAAACGTATAGCAAATATATAACAAAACCTTAGCGATGAACATGTTGAAGAAACATCCTTATGCACCTTCTCTAAGACAAGATTAGGTGTAACTAGCTAGCAGAAACTGATGCTATTAAAAAAAACACATTAGTACTCAGATTCAGTCTAAAAGATTATGGTATTAGACTATCATCTTCTCCTGCTCGACAAAACTGCCGGCTGTTCTTACAATCCACTTCCATCAAAGCTTAAGGATCAGCTCAGCCGAGGAAAACAATCAATGCAGGTCCCTTTCAATTTTATACTTATCAGCAGAGCATTTAATACAGATAATCATGGGCAAACACAGCCCTCCGTGAAGAAGAGGGAAGTGGGAAGCTTCAGGTCTGAATCAGAGAAGATTGGGTTTGCACCTGGAACTGGTGCTATAAGCCTTGTATCTGTAAAATGCCAAAACAGGCTGATATCAAAGCATCACAAGGAAGGACTGGAAGACTCACGATTTCATAGAATCATAGATAGAATCAAAGAGTTGGAAGAGACCTCATGGGCCATCCAGTCCAACCCCATTCTGCCAAGAAGCAGGAATATTGCATTCAAATCACCCTGACAGATGGCCATCCAGCCTCTGTTTAAAAGCTTCCAAAGAAGGAGCCTCCACCACACTCCGGGGCAGAGAGTTCCACTGCTGAACGGCTCTCACAGTCAGGAAGTTCTTCCTCATGTTCAGATGGAATCTCCTTTCTCATAGTTTGAAGCCATTGTTTCACGTCATAGTCTCCAGGGAAGCAGAAAACAAGCTTGCTCCCTCCTCCCTGTGGCTTCCTCTCACATATTTATACATGGCTATCATATCTCCTCTCAGCCTTCTCTTCTTCAGGCTAAACATGCCCAGCTCCTTAAGCCGCTCCTCATAGGGCTTGTTCTCCAGACCCTTGATCATTTTAGTCGCCCTCCTCTGGACACATTCCAGCATTTCAATATCTCTCTTGAATTGTGGTGCCCAGAATTGGACACAATATTCCAGGTGTGGTCTAACCAAAGCAGAATAGAGGAGCATGACTTCCCTAGATCTAGACACTATGCTCCTATTGATGCAGGCCAAAATCCCATTGGCTTTTTTTTTTTTGCCGCCACATCACATTGTTGGCTCATGTTTAACTTGTTGTCCACGAGGACTCCAAGATCTTTTTCACACATACTGCTCTCGAGCCAGGCATCCCCCACAGAACTGGGCGACTTGGAAGGCGCTGAACAGACTGCGCTCTGGCACCACAAGATGCAGAGCCAACCTCAAGAAATGGGGCTACAAAGTGGAATCCACGACATGCGAGTGTGGAGAAGAGCAAACCACTGACCACCTGCTGCAATGCAGCCTGAGCCCTGCCACATGCACAATGGAAGACCTCCTTGCGGCAACACCAGAAGCACTCCAAGTGGCCAGATACTGGTCAAAGGACATTTAATCAACTACCAAACTCACAAATTTTGTATTTTGCCTGTTTGTTTGTTTGTTTTGTTCTGTTAGAAATGTAATATAATTGACTGGTTGCCCTGACACGACAAATAAATCACCTATTGCTAACCCTGTTTTGGATTATGCATCTTCTTTCCTTATTCCTGCTTTTTCATATGTTTTATCTGTTTTGTAAAAAAGATGTTTGTTTATACTCTGGACTTTTGTGTGGTGTTGTGGTCATAGGGGTTTCCAGGCCTGGGGGGCAACACTATGCTTAAATAGTTCTAGATAATGAACTGATTTGGTTTCTTAAAAGAAAATATAAAGTCAAAATTTTAAAAAGATGTAGAGAAAAGAAGAAGACATAAATGATCATCAGCATTATCCAAAACAGTTGCGATACTCACATTACTTCCATCCGAGCCACCCTGGAATCATTCCCTCCGAAGGAAGTGACTTCGCACGTGTAGTCTCCAATGTCCCCGGACCACGTCTGGCTAATGATGAGGGTGCCGTCTTTGTCGATGGTGAGGCGGGAGCTGCTAGATGGATTTATGACAACGTTGTCCTTCTTCCAAACATACCTGATTGTCACAGTATTTCAGACCGTTAAAGTCAGATGTCTATTTCGTTAAAAAAGATGACATATCAAGTGCTGAAATTATACGGTATAAAACAGAGCTAAATAATTATGTAGCACAGTCAAGCTTGCTAGTAATCTTCCAAGGTCTCTTTCGGATCCAGTCAATGTCTGTCAGACCTGAAAGACTAATAAAAAGCAATTGCCCTCCTTAAACATTAAATTTGAGGCAGGAGTTGTCAATCAAAGCCAACTCTGGTGGCGGAATGAGGAGCTTTTGTTCCCAGAAGTGTAAAGAGAAAGGGTATAATTGTCCTTAGTTTTCTTAATTGTGGATTTTTAAACCACAAGTCTTAAATGAATTGTCACTTCCATTGTATCCCAGAATCTCCAGAAACCTATAGACACCACCCTCCACCCTGATTTCTCTTCAGATTGTATATAGCAGGCATGGGCAAACCTCAGCTCTCCCTTGAGGTGTTTTGGACTTCAAATCCCACAATTCCTGGCCTCAGGCCCTTTCTTAAGCGGCTGAGGGGGAAAAGGAAAGGGCCTGAGGCCAGGAATTGTAGGAATTGAAGTCCAAAATACCTGGAGAGCTGAAGTTTGCCCATGCCTGGTATATAGCATAAAATATCATTTCAACACAACTCTTTTCTCCTTTTTTGTGCAGAATACACATACAACTATAGTTCTTCCATATCCCTCTAATCTGGAGATACGTTTTTAGAGTCTGTTTTCTCTACAAAAGAGACCTCAATTTTTAATTCTATTAGGGATCATCAACTAAGTATTTTTGCATGCAAGGACAAAACATTAAATTCCTCTCCAATATTCTCCCCACATACAAATGCCTTCAAATGTTGTTGTTTATCACACAAAAACTATTTTCAGCACAGAAGACTAATTCTCTATATAGCTAAAACCGCTGCTATAAATAAACTTATATTTTTCTGAAAATTATTCCTTCACAGTATTCTAGGACAGTAGTTTTCAACCTTTTTTTTTCCGACCAGGGACCACTTTGACTCTCCAACATTAGTTCCAAAAGGGTTATGAATCAGTTTTTGGTCAACATTAAATTCGGTTTGGTTATTTGCTGATTCAAAAAACTGCATTGGAGAGACCACATCAGTTCTAGTTTCTGATACAGAACATCTGCTCACCCACAGTAAACCATATTTAATAATCTAGAGATGTTGTAGTAGCAGTAATCTTTTGTGAGTAGTTAACTTCTCCCCTCCCAACATCCCTGTTGCACATACAACTATATTCTAGGACAGTAGTTCCCAACTTTTTTTTGACCAGGGGCCACTCTCCAACATTAGTACCAAAAGGGTTATGAATCAGTTTTTGGTCAACTTTAAATTCGGTTTGGTTATTTGCTGATTCAAAAAACTGCATTGGAGAGACCACATCAGCTCTAGTTTCTGATACAGAACATATGCCATCCAGTAGTTCCCATCTGCTTGCCCACAGAAAACCATATTTAATAATCTAGAGATGTTGTGGTAGCAGTAATCTTTCATGGGTAGTCAACCTCTCCCCTAACAAAATCCCTGTTGCCTTGGCACTATAAGAGGGTTTCACGAGACCAGTTGCTCTCATTGCTGCGTGGTTACAAGGCAACAGTGTAGTAATTGTGAGGCCGCAGACCATATTTGCGTTCTTGGGGACCACTGGTGGCCCACGGACCACAGGTTGGAAACCACTATTCTAGGAGGCCATGAGTTGGATTCAAGCTGATTGCAAAGATATCTAAAGAAACGTATGTGTTGTGGCTGAGCTAGTTTCTGACGATGAGGATGAGTTTCAGCTTCCTGGCTCTTTGTCTGTGCCTCAAATCTCGGAGCCTGCGTCTGAGGCTCTCACAGACAGAGCTGTGCCAACACAGCTGTTTTCACCAGAAAGGAATTTTAATGAAGAGAATAGCAGCTAGGTGCCTTACCACGATGATATCGAAAGTAATGATAACCACAATGATATCGAAAGTAATGATAAGGATTTGTCCCGAGAAGCTCGCCTTGATCTCCGGGTCAGACGCAGTTCACGTCTGGCAAGCAGGCGGGAGGCTCCCTCGCTGCAAGGTCGTCGCAATACTTTTATGATGCTGAGAGCCTAATGTTTTGATGTTAGAAAGGTATTTAGGCCTTCTGGAAACTCTGTGAAACTGTCAGGAGCTTATTAGCCTGAAATAATAGGAGCTTATTAGCCTGAAAGCTTCATGAAATAACCTGAGCCTGGAAAGCAGTAAGCTTGGGATTTCTTGCATTGTGTTTCTTGGGGCAAATGGTTCTTTGCTTGTACCTGGGACTCTGGTTTGATTTTGCCAATAGGATTATGTCTCTTGCTTTTACCTGAAGATCTTTGGAACTGTATCCTGCATTTAACTTTACTCTTTGGAACTTTGTATTGTTTATTCTTTGTTTTGACTTGGATTCTTTCTTCAATAAACTATAAAACTACAGCTCTTGTGTGGTGGTGTTTGGAAGCAAGGTGAAGCCTACTCTGAGTTGCAACAGTATGTGCAAATCTTCATGCACTTAAAATATAAAAGTTAACTAGATCTAACATTTGTTGTTGTTCATTCGTTCAGTCGTCTCTGACTCTTCATGACCTCATGGACCACCCACGCCAGAGCTCCCTGTCAGCCGTCACCACCCCCAGCTCCTTCAAGGTCAGTCCAGTCACTTCAAGGATGCCATCCATCCATCTTGCCCTTGGTCGGCCCCTCTTCCTTTTACCTTCCACTTTCCCCAGCATAATTCCCTTCTCTAGGCTTTGCTGTCTCCTCATGATGTGGCCAAAGGACTTCAACTTTGTCTCTAGTATCCTTCCCTCCAGTGAGCAGTCGGGCTTTATTTCCTGGAGGATGGACTGGTTGGATCTTCTTGCAGTCCAAGGCACTCTCAGATCTAACATTACATTTTTATTTTTTATGGGACATTCCACATTTTCTTCTGTCAGATATTTCAGTGCTAAGATTTATAGTACAGAACTATTTTACAGTCGTGTATAGAAAGACCCACAGATATAACACTATTAGCACTATAAGGGGGAGGGAGCTTTTAAGACAAGGTTTCCTCCTTTACTCATTTTTTTTTTTTACTTTTACAGCAGTGAAATTGTTTAACATGTTCTAAAGGGAACGGCAGCATTCCTCGTTTGCCTTTCCCTTTTTCATCTGCATTCGTTTTCATTCCTCTCCATGCTCTCTGCATGTCAAAGAAACAGAGGGGGAATTCCTCTAATTCATGCCTGTAGGATTTGGCAGTTTTAAGACGACTTTACATTCTGAATTGATTATTTTCTTTTTTTCAGAAGCAGATGTGATGCTTTCAGAAATATTTTCAAGATTCCTCTTTGTAAACATCCCTACAAGCCTATTAAACTGCTTTAGGTTTGATTCTCATTAAGTATCAGCTTTTGACAAGTCGGTTTTATTGATATCATATTAACCCTGACAGTAAATCACGGGAAGTGATATTGAAGTCATGAAGTGGAACATAGTTTGTTGTAAATAATATATAAGTTTGAAGAGGGAAAATAAAAAAAAAACGTGACGGGATGAATGGCGCAACCTACCACCTTAGGACTCATAGAAAAACCCAAGGACCGGAATGAGCTCTCCTAACACAACGCAGCGGGTTTGTAAAATTAAGCTCAAATAAGCTGCACAAACAACTGTGGACACCACCAACCTGATTGAAATTCTCGGGTCATGAGCAGCTTCGCATTGCAGCATCGCTGTGGTTCCCTTAATAACAGTGCTGTCCTCAGGAGGGCGAACGATAAAAGTGCGATCTGGAAAAGAACACGACCCACAGTTCAGGTAAAATTGCCGGCTTCCATCTTGACTTAGGTGTTTGCCCTCGGAAAGCAGTGAGCTCGGTTATTTGTCATCCAGACAAGAACATTTCTGCTCCCTGGGCTCCTTGCGTCTAGCAAACATGGGGAAAGTGCAAAGTTCTCTGCAGACTCTCTTCCCCAGAAATCCATGCAAGGGATTACGGCCGTCTCCCACCTTTAATTTCCCAATGGACGCCAATTGCAAAGAGGCAGCAATATTTGAAAAGCAAGCCCGGAGGCAATTTTACTGCTGGGTGTTCCTCATTGGTTGGGTTCAAGTGCTGACCCCTTCAGAGTAATTAGGAAATCAGGAGACAGCCACTCACTGGGCTAGACGGAGTCCCCCCCTTACACTTAACTCATTTTAGGGACATGGCAGTGGCAACCTTAATGGTAGGTAACACTAACTATGGTTGGCATGCAATCGGAATTCAAACGAGAGGTCTAAAGGCAACTTCAGATCTTCAGTTCAAGATACTTCAGTCATTTTTTCAACTAGGAGCATTTTAATGGCAATCTTTCATGTCAATGCAGACAGGTCTTTGAAGTGCAGTTAAGGCAGAAGAGGAAGATTCAGTCCAGAGAAAGACAAATACAAAGTATGCTCTAAAGACAACTTATAAAGAGGATATGCACTACCAACAATACATTCATACTGTTCTGTTGTGCGCTGGGCCTGTAAAGAATTTCCTTTAGAACAGGACGTGCAACCTTTGCCCAGCGGGAAGCCAGGGGGCCCAAAGAGAAGTTCTCAGAGGTTTTCCACCACAAATGATCTTTAGATGGCTTGTGAAGTATAACAAAGTCCTTTATTAATGAACAATCAAACAGAAACTTCTCTTGTCTTCAGTAAAGATAAACAAATGATTCCAGGCTTTTATGCAACTGGTAGCTTCCTAAACTTGCCCACGAAGGACAGGCAACTGTCTTCAATAACTTCTTCTTTACTTTAAAGGAAAATCCCCTTTTTAACTTCTCCCAGGCTGACTGTAATCTAACCCTTACTGATGTGGGCTCCGCTACCGGGTCGAACTGCGTCTCGAAGCACCGAGTGGACCTACCAGTAAAGGCTTAGATACTCTCCAGCTGGAGTTCTTTGGTCTTTCAAACTGTTCACCCTCCGAAATTCCTCAAAGCTTTAGGACTGCTTCCCTGGAAATCTTTGGGTGCTCTTAAGACTGTACTCCCCCGGAAGGTCTTAAGGGTTGAAGCTTTTGTACAGGGGAAGCTTGCACACGTCCTGTACATTAGCTTTCCTTGCTGAGACTAACTAAAAATGGCTCCCTTCCCTTCCCAATTGCCCTGAGCAAAACTTAACGATGATGGACAGGTGACTTGCCCTATGACTGCAACCAAAGGAAGCCACCTATCTGCAGAGTCCCTGAAACCTTGGACTGCAAGCAAACATTTAATACAAAGCAAATAAAATTGGAGCTCCTGGTACAGCCGTACCAGAACACATACAGTGGATGGCCATCATGGCAGTAATAGGAAAAAGATCACATAAAGTTACATAAATGAATCCTAGATTGATTGATTGATTGATTGATTGATTGATTGATTGATTGATTGGATTTATAGCCCTCTTTTCCTTAGGTCAAGATTAAATCTGAAGCCCAAGTGCTTAAACTGAAATTGCCCTACTTTAGACGTATTATGAGAAGATGTAAGATAATAAATGCTTGGCAAAAGAGAAGGAAGTAGGAAAAGAGGAGAACTTCCCAAAGAAGGTGTATATATGCCCTCAATAATGCCATAATATTGAGGCTACAACATTTAGATAGGTCATTGATAACATGGGAAGTTGGAGATCTTTCATTAATATGTTTCTCACAAGTTGAAGCTGACCTGAGAGCAACTAACAACAGCGACAAAGTTACTCCACATCATAGGATGTGAAGTGTACACAGTAATATGGGCAACTATCTTATGTTTGCAGGCCCCTTATTGTCGTGTATCATGTTCTGCAGTTGATGGTGGTTGGTGGTGGTAGGCCTAGCAGTTGGTGATGGAAGGGTTAATGTAAGTCTTAGTTCTAAAGGGTTGAGTAATCTGTAAGTAAGAGTTCATGGGTGAAAGCAATTAAGGGTGGAGGTATGCAAGAGATAGGTTGCAGCTGGGTGTTTCTGGATATAAGGAGCTAGCCTTGGGACTGATTTGGGAGAAAAGTATTGTTTTATTTTGGTGGTAGATACTGCTGGTTTTTCCCCAGGTCTCTGGATTTTCAGTATCCTGACCTGTCTCCTGAACTCTTAAAACCCTGGAACTTTGAATCTCTGGACTGGCTTTGGACTACGGTATAGAATCTTGATTCCAGGACTTTGCTCATTGAACTCTCAGCGTTTGACCACTGGACTGGACCTTTTGACTACAGTGTTATCTTGAACCTGCAACAGTGTTTGCTGTAGTTTTTGTTTTATATTCTGTGGCTGAGTGCTATCTTTATGTTTTGGACTATTAAAACAGCCAGAAAGTAAGTGCTGTTTTAATTAAATTGTTTAACACTAACTGGGAGTTTGGTTCATCTCTGCCTAAATATTGGCAGAGCCCTGGCAACATGACACTTGGTGGCACAGCGGGTTAAACCACTGAGCTGCTGCACTTGCTGACACGCCCAGCTTCTGCCAGCCTAGCAGTTCAAACACATGCAAATGTGAGTAGATCAATAGGTATCGCTTTGGCAGGAAGGTAACGGCACTCCATGCAGTCATGCCTATGGCCACATGACCTCAGAGATGTCTACAACATCTTTATTAATGACTTAGATGAAGGGCTAGAAGGCAGGATCATCAAGTTTGCAGACGACACCAAATTGGGAGGGATAGCCAATACTCAAGAGGACAGGAGCAGGATTCAAAACGATCTTGACAGATTAGAGAGATGGGCCAAAACTAACAAAATGAAGTTCAACAGTGACAAATGCAAGATACTCCACTTTGGCAGGAAAAACGAAATGCAAAGATACAGAATGGGGGACTGCCTGGCGCGAGAGCAGTACGTGTGAAAAAGATCTTGGAGTCCTCGTGGACAACAAGTTAAACATGAGCCAACAATGTGATGTGGCGGCAAAAAAAGCCAATGGGATTTTGGCCTGCATCAATAGGAGCATAGTGTCTAGATCTAGGGAAGTAATGCTACCCCTCTATTCTGCCTTGGTTAGACCACACCTGGAATATTGTGTCCAATTCTGGGCACCACAATTCAAGAGAGATATTGACAAGCTGGAATGTGTCCAGAGGAGGGCGACTAAAATGATCAAGGGTCTGAAGAACAAGCCCTATGAGGAGCGGCTTAAGGAGCTGGGCATGTTTAGCCTGAAGAAGAGAAGGCTGAGAGGAGATATGATAGCCATGTATAAATATGTGAGAGGAAGCAACAGGGAAGAGGGAGCAAGCTTGTTTTCTGCTTCCCTGGAGACTAGGACAACAATGGCTTCAAACTACAAGAGAGGAGATTCCATCTGAACATGAGGAAGAACTTCCTGACTGTGAGAGCCGTTCAGCAGTGGAACTCTCTGCCCCGGAGTGTGGTGGAGGCTCCTTCTTTGGAAGCTTTTAAACAGAGGCTGGATGGCCATCTGTCAGGGTGATTTGAATGCAATATTCCTGCTTCTTGGCAGGAATGGGGTTGGACTGGATGGCCCATGAGGTCTCTTCCAACTCTTTGCTTCTATGATTCTACAGACAACGCTGGCTCTTTGGCTTAGAAATGGAGATGAGCACCAAACTCTATTGTCAGCCACGACTGGACTTAACGTCAGGGGAAACCTTTACCTATCTTATGTTCACCAGAATTTCTAATAGGCATCCTTCCAAACCCTATCTGGGAATGTCATGGTTTGTACCAGGGCCCTTTGTATGCAATGCATGTGCTGTGCCATTGAGCTGCAGAGACTTATCTCATAAAATATTTCATAAAACCCCACAAACTCAAGAGGTGACATTCACCCTAAACATCATTATAAAGTCCCATCATTCAAAAGTGCTCAGGAAATGAAGGTCACTGAGCAAGTAGACACAAAAGATTTCACAGAAAGGAAACGGCTGCAGAGTACATCAGCCAAATCCAAGTGTAAAAAAGGAAGGTAAATGGAAAAGAGGAACAAAGTCCCATTCCTCAGAAGCAATAATAGGCCACAATGCTTGGAGAGATATCTTGACAAGGAACAAGAGTCAAGTGCTCAGTGTGAACATCAGATCCCATTAAGCACCACGTCCAAGAGTGCCGAATATTTCTGCTCTTCAGGTTATATAATAGTGTCATCTGAACTGCTGCAGTAACAGTGTGCGATTGAATTAAATAACTTTTCAAAGATCACCTATTCAGAATAGAACTTTGACAGGACACCTCCACCCACGTTTCACTGACGTGGAAGAGCAAGCAGCTCCTTTTCAAATATCCTTGCATCTCATAAAGGTCTTTCGGATGATGGCAACTAAACTTGAGTTTGGGAAAGTTGCATGGTCAACCCCATCAATGCTACTCACCCTACTCAAATTTGAACAATGTCTTAAATGTTTGGAAAACCAGTGATTTAAATGAAATCTAGAAGCTACATACACAATTCCTACTCAATTATTCAATGACCTCCCATCGACTCACCCACCCACTAGGCTTGGTTGATCCAGCTCGTTAATTTCTAATATCGTTATTAAATCGTAAATAAAACACCTTTAGAAGCGGTATTGATGCGTTTTGGCAACCCGGAAGTGCTTTTGCCATATCGAAGCCGCATCCACCATCTTCCTTACGACTTCTGGCAGTGAATCGTAAATGCTGGGAGCGTGGCCTTCAGGAACAGCTGTTCTTACCCACGCCCACCTCCTTCCTCTTTGCATCGCGGCTTTGCGAGGTGGGCTTTGCGAGGTGGGTGTGGCTACCTCCCTGGTGACAAGCGGTGATGCGGAAGAGCTGGGCGTAGCCACGCCCACATCACAAAGCCCACCTCGCAAAGCCGCTGATGCAAAGAGGAAGGAGGTGAGGGTGGGTAAGAACAGCTGTTTCTGAAAGCCACACCCAAGCGAACTCCAAGGAGCGCTGTGCTTGGCCACGCCCACCTCTCCCTTCTGCATGACTGACAGCTTGCCAGGAAGGGAAGGAAAGGTGAGAGAAGCTCGCCGCAAGGGAAGGAAGGGAAACTGCGAGATTTTAATGGTTCTGGAGGGAGGGAGGAGCACCTTCCATTAACGAAACAAAGGAAGCGATTCGTATTTCCTGGTATTTCCAATCTTTTTTTAAAGAAAATTTCAGAAATAATTTGAAAATCGAACCACCAGCGCCCCTTATATATGAAAAGAGTTTAGAACCACTTTTTTCTTGATCAACCAAGCCTACCACCCACAAAGAGGCATTTTGGAAACTGGTTTCCCAAGGGTAACCAGCTGAAGTAGACAAGGCCTTGGTCAATGCTAGTGTTTGACTCAAACATGATCCTTACTCCAAACAGTAAGAGCAGCAGAGGCATTAAGGACTCCTTCAGAGTTGACGGCACAGCAGGTATAGTTTCCAGCATCTTGAAGGAAGACCGGGGATATTTGGAGTCCTCCAGACTCAAGGAGCAGGAACCTGGGGATCTGGACAGAGCCACTGGCCAAAATCTGGTGCTCTGAAACACAGCATGGAAAAAATAGCTTCAGTCCTCTGAGCAGAAAATTGGAGTGATTGCCCAAAAAGAAATAAAAAAGTACCTCTCCTCCAAGCAATTGCAGGCTTTGGGGCTCCAGAAACATCGCATCTTAATACCGCAGTCATCCCTTCAGTCACAGTGATATCGGCTGGAGGATGAGTAAAAGTGGGGGCAACATCTGGAAGAAAAAAACAGGGTGTTTCTTTAATAGAGTTCTTGGATAACTCTTTGAACGATCTGGAAGCTCCCAGTGGAATGGTTCTCTCTATTTTTGTTGCACCACTAATGGACAAGCACATGACAATAACAACAGGAAAACCTTTCAGAAGAGAAAGCAACCTTTCGCTATTTACCTCCTGGGAATTTGCCAACTTGCCTTGCTGGCTAAATGAATAAAATAAAACCCTGGCAGCAGTTGCAGAAGCGCAAGCAGCACGGCTTTAAGGCAAAGCAAGAAGAAGGGTTTTAAAAGAAGGGTTTGGAGGAAAGCAGATGAACGGAAATAAACAGGACTCGTTGCTTTTATCCTCCTAACGTGCTTCTTTAAGATGAAAAGCAACATGAGTCTGACATTAGTTTGCCAAGTTAAATGTCAGCCAAAAGAAGTTTCTGTTTGAATCCCATCCAAGGTACATCTATGTTTCTACCAAGCTTCCCTTGCCATTCTGTTTTAATGTGCCACTTTCTTTCAGCTTCCAATGCAAAGATCAAACAGGGCCAGCCTTATTATCTCAAGCCTGGAGAAGATATCAGACATTAGAAGAGCCCCATATGTGAACAGAGGTAAGACTAGGAAAGATCTAACAATGTAGCCGAGTGCCAATCACAGGAGATGTATAGCTGGGCACCTATCCATCATGCCAGAATCCAGCGAATAACTGTCATTGCTAAAGCTGAGGCTATTAAAGGAGATTAGAGCTAGAAAGTCATCCACTGCACCTAGGACCAAACCTACACTCTCGATATAGAAAGGAATCATTATCGCAGGCATGGCCTAGTGATGGGCAACCTTTTGAGCTTGGTGAGTCAAAATTTGCCAAATACCTGAGCATAACTTGGGTGGAGTGTCACTTTGAGGAAAAAAAACCCCATAATTTTGCAATATTTATAGTTTAAATAAGAAAAATGTATAATCCATGCTGAGTTATGGAGTGAACAATGCTCCACTGATGCCTAAGTTAATACAATTTTATTGGTATCTATTTTTATTTTGAAATTTACTAGTAGCTGCTGCATTTCCCACCCTCGGTTTATACTCAAGTCAATACATTTCCCCAGTTTTTTGTAGTAAAATTAGGTGCCTCGGCTTATATTCGGATCAGCTTATACTCGAGTATATATGGTAATTTTGCAATATTTATAATTTAAATAAGAAAAATGTATATTCCATGCTGAGTTATGGAGTGAACAATGCTCAAACGTGCAGATGTTAAATTTGTAGAGCCTTTTACAAATGTAAGGATGGAATTAGATTGGCTTTTATAAGGTGTATTTCTCTGTATGTGGCCGCATGTGTCTGCGTGTCATCAAAAATAGCCATGCGTGTCAGTGCTGACATGCATGCCATAGGTTCACCATCACGGGCCTATATGGTCTAGTTTCCTAGGACAGGAATGGCCATATCTAAACAGAGAGAACAGGCAGCAAAGCAAACACAAGAATTCCCTCTTCTCTTTTCAAGTACAATACACATCCAGGCAATGCAGAACGATGACAGCAACAACAACAATCTATTAATCACCTGTCTCTTCACACTGCTCAAAACGGGACTCACAAGCACTGTGAGGTTGAAATCTTTCATTGGGTCACTTGGCATCTACTCTGTGTGCCTATCAACTGAAAAGAGGGCTTTCATTCAGGGTGGGATTCCCCATGACAATCATGGCAAGGAAGCATATGCTATTAGCAGTTTGCATTTTATTCTGTGCAAAATACACAAATTAAAAAATTTTTGCACAGAAAATATTACAATTTTTGCAGGAAATACTGTTCCCTGTGTCAAAAATACTGTTTTCTTTCTGAAAAGGTATTTTTATCATGTCAGAAGCAACTTGAGAAATTGCAAGTCGCTTCTGGTGTGAAAGAATTGGCCATCTGCAGGGACGTTGCTCAGGGGACGCCTGGATGTGTTACCATCCTGTGGGAGGTTTCTCTCATGTCCCCGCATGGGGAGCTGGAGCTGACAGACGGGAGCTCACCCTGTCTCGCGGATTCGAACCACTGACCTTCAGGTCAGCAGTTCAGCCGGCACAGGGGTTTAACCCATTGCACCACAGCGGCTCCTTGCACAAGATAATTATGTGCAGTTTTTGTGCAAAACACATCTTATATTGCAAACAGTCTTGTTAGCCCAGGATTATCCTTTCTTTGCAGTTTGCTTCACTGGATTGTTTAAAAGTTTTGGAGTGGGTTTTTTTTTGGGGGGGGGGGAGAGAGATAATATCTTAAACAGAAAGAATAAATAAAAATATATCCTGCCTGACATCACTGCAGTGCTGACACTGGTGTTCTGTTATGAAAGGTTGCAATTCACACCAACCTCAAGAGTACAACAAGTCTAACAATATTTCCATCACTGGAAGGTGATGAATTCATCCCATTGAGATTTAAGAGTTGGAAAATGCTTCCCTTGGGATATAGGTGGGAAACACTGTTAGGATATGGCCTTTCTAATTTAATTCAGAATAATATTAGGGAAGCTGTAACTGAAGCTTTCATTATGCAGTATTTGAGACAGACTCATTAAAATTGACCAGAGAACTCTCCCTCATGCAACACAACAAAAAGTCCACAACATGAGAGTTAGCCATACGGTCATCATATCAAAAGGACACTTCATAGGTACTTTGCTCCCAGTATGAAACAGAAGACCATTATGCAAGAGATTCCCTGAAATATTCATATTTGTGACACTGTTTCATACATTATAATTTTTAAGCATAAGAATTGGACCAAAGTCATGTGTGAAATGCCCTTTTTGCACTGAGAACAAAAAGGACAAAGCCCTTGTCACTCATTTTTCGTTGGCTGAATCCATTAGTTACCTGAGTTCAACGCGTGACTTCCAGTTATAGAAATCCTCCTTGACAGGGAGAAAGCTCACAGAGAATTTACAGTTTATGTTTGTTGTTAAACAAGGCCGTGCTTAACATGGCAACCTGTGCCTCGTAAAACCAGAAACGTGGAGTTATAAGTAGAAACTTATTTGTGTTTCATTGGGAACTGCTGCCTTGTTCATTTTGGAAGGGGAGAGCAGCAGGTAAAGCAACATTGTCCAAGTGAGGCACCTGCGGCAGGTGATAATGTGCAAGTCATTCCAAAGAAGAACTTTGAACAGTGTCGGTTGATTGAAGTGATTTAATTCATTTAAATCAGCAAGAAGAAGAAAAAGTTTAAGAAAAGGTGCCATTGAATTCATTTCAAGTATTGGTTAAACAATGGTGCAAATTTTACAACTAAATGGAATATTATTTACATTGGGTTGTTGTAAGCATTTCGGGCTGTCTGGCCATGTTCCAGAAGCATTCTCTCCTGATGTTTCGCCTGCATCTATGGCAAGCATCCTCAGAGGTTGTGAGGTCTGTTGGAAACTAGGAAAATTTTTAAATGTGTGGAATGTCCAGTGTTCTGTGGCACGCTGGGCCTGTAAATAATTGTCTTAAAATAGGACGTGCGACTTGAGCCCAGCGGGAAGCCAGGGGGCCCCCGAAGAGAAGCTCTCAGAGATTTTCCACCACAAATGATCCTTAGATGGCTTGTGAAGTATAACAAAGTCCTTTATTAATGAACAATCAAACAGAAACTTCTCTTGTCTTCAGAAAGTTAAACAAATGATTCCAGGCTTTTATGCAACTGGTGGCTTCCTAATCCTGTCCACAAAGCACAAACAATAACTAATTCTTTGCTTTGAAGGAAAATCCTCTTTTTTAACTTCTCCCAGGCTGACTGTAATTCAACCCTTACTGATGTGGGCTCCGCTACCGGGTCAAACTGCGTCTCGAAGCACTGAGTGGACCTACCAGTAAAGGCTTAGATATTCTCCAGCTGGAGTTCTTTGGTCTTTAGGGCTGTTCTCCTGGAAGTCTTTGGAGACTCTTAAGACTGTTTTGCCCCAGAATGTCTTGGATGCTCTTAAGACTGTTTTTCCCCGGAAAGTCTTAAGGGTTGAAGCTTTTGTACAGGGGAAGCTTGCACAAGTTTTGTACATTAGCTTTCCTTGCTGAGACTAACTAAAAATGGCTCCCTTCCCTTCAGAATTGCCCTGAGCAAGGGGCGGAACCAAACTTAACGATGATGGACAGGTGATTTGCCCTATGACTGCAACCAAAGGAAGCCACCTATCTGCAGAATCCCAGGAACCTTGGACTGCAACCAAACATTTAATACAAAGCAAATAAAGTTGGAGCTCCTGGTATAGCCATACCAGAACAATGCTGCCTAGTTCAAAGAAGAAATTCACCTTGCGGTGTGTTTTGTGGAACCTTCTCAGAAAATCCCCATTCTATTTGCAATTATTTCAGAAAAGAAAGTATAAAAAGAGCATGAAGGTCTAAACTTACTCGTGACATCCAAGAAGGTATTGGTCTGCATCTCTCCAACTGCATTCCTTGCAAAACACTGAAAGATCCCAGAGTCATCAGGCTGCAATCCCTGGATCTGAAGACTTCCATTGACCAGAACCTTGTAACGGGGATTCAGCAATTTGAGGACAGGGACGGCATCCTTATACCACACCAGAGTAGGAAGAGGGACCCCTGCCCAAAACAAACACCAAGAGAGAGTCTTTAGATATGCATACACACAAGATATCATTCAAGATAACTTATCACCCATTACAGGCAGTCCTGAAGTTACAAACATCTGACTTACAAATGACTCATAGTTAAGAAAGGGAGTGAGACAACGGGTCCACCACCGAGAAGGACCTCCCTTTTGTTCCCACCAAGCGCACTTGTGATGGTGGTGGGATCGAGAGAAAAATGATTTCAGGACACGAGTGGTCTGGTATGAGGAGATACATTCCCTCAAGAACATAACATGCATAACAACTTGTTTCTGTGGAGAATGAAAGGCATATTATGTCCCCTAAGAACACAGCCACAAACAAAAAAGCTGTTTTTTAAAAAAGGAGGGCATATTGGAGCAGCCATGAAATTATATTTTTGTACAATGATGCAATCAGTTCCCGAAATCACATGTGAAGTTTCCATTTTGCTTGAATAACAAAGCTATGGATTGCCCCAAACAGTCATCTTTGTGGTGCTGTGTGTGTGCAGTTTGATACCAAATAGAAACAGTGCACCATTGTAGAATAAACACAATTTAAATTTCATGCCAAAGGCCTGTCTATGTACAGTCTGATTGTCAGAATTCTCAATGCAAATGTTATTAATCCCAGGAAATCCCCTCTGGGCAAATACAAATTACTGCTGAGTAACGCGGAAACAGATGATACAAAAATGGAATAGTCCTCTAGACAGAGGACGCTGGAAGTGCTTTGAAGCTTAAATAATGGCAATTGTGGAAAACAGAAAAGAGTAAAGCCTGGCATTAGGCATTCCTCTCTCAATTGTGAGCCCCAGAAAATAGGATTCCCAATCCTGGAGAGAATTTCCACGCATAGCAGAAATTCTCCTGTTTGGACCTGTCATCTTCCATATGAGCAGAGTAACAGAATGCTGTTACTGAACCAACAAAATGTAATTTTTAAAAAATTTCCAAAATTTCCATCTATTGAAATTAATGCACTTACAAAGTGCCCACATGTTCAAGAACCCTTTGAATCTTTTTTTTAGAAACCCGCAAAAAATACCTTGCATTTTAAACCTTTGCAACAGGCATAATTGCAGAGAAACTTGGCTCCCAAGAAAATTCCATTTACAGTGAAAGAGAGAGAGAAAAAAGCTGTAATTTTATTTATAGTTCATCTAGCTGTATCAAGTAAATTTAATCTTTGTCTCTCACGCTCATGGTGTGCAAAGATGGAATAAATGGCTTTTGTGCCAAAGGACCCCATAGGAGTTGTGACAAATTGAGACTTCCTGCCTGTTTACGGTCAGGGCACTGAGCCGCTCCATTATGCTCCCAGGGCTATTATTCAAGCACCTGGGCTGGCATGCTCCCATTTCATTTTATGTCCTTCCTGAGATGCTGGGCTCCACCAAGCACAGCTTACAACAAACAGTAACACAGTTAGTGCCTATTGTAGACCTACAAACTACAGCACCAAGGGACCCGGAAATTGAGCACGTATTCTGGAGGAACACCAACCAGGTGAGAAGCGTGGAAACCATGATCTTCGTTTCTTTTATGCTACACAAAAGACCCAGGTGAGTTTCAAGAAAAAATGATGGGACTGATCCAATGTCACATTTTAAGTCATTTGGAACTCTAATTGATAAGAATCTAAGAAATAGGATGATCTGGATAGCCTGAACATTACATCATTACCTCATGGGCCATCCAGTCCAACCCCATTCTGCCAAGAAGCAGGAATATTGCATTCAAATCACCCCTGACAGATGGCCATCCAGCCTCTGTTTAAAAGCTTCCAAAGAAGGAGCCTCCACCACACTCCGGGGCAGAGAGTTCCAATGCTGAATGGCTCTCACAGTCAGGAAGTTCTTCCTCATGTTCAGATGGAATCTCCTCTCTTGTAGTTTGAAGCCATTGTTCCGCGTCCTAGTCTCCAAGGAAGCAGAAAACAAGCTTGTTCCCTCCTCCTCCCTGTGGCTTCCTCTCACATATTTATACATGGCTATCATATCTCCTCTCAGCCTTCTCTTCTTCAGGCTAAACATGCCCAGCTCCTTAAGCCGCTCCTCATAGGGCTTGTTCTCCAGACCCTTGATCATTTTATTCACCCTCCTCTGGACACGTTCCAGCTTGTCAAGAATAGACCTGCCCAATTTAGCAGCCCTAATAAGCAAATTACACTTGCTATGTTTTAATTAGTATGCTTGGAATTAGTCCTTGGAAAGCATTTTATTTTAAATGGAATTCTAAATATTTTGAAGGTTTTAGTGATTTCCAAACACCTTTCAAGTAAAGTGCAGCGGAGAGTTTGCAACCACAGAAGTGTAACTACACTTAAATGTTCCTCTCCCTGACATTTTCCTTCTGCTACAGAAGCACTATAATTTTAAGAAACAAGGCGCTTTAACTATTGCAATTATTGATTGTTTCTCCACAAGCCCCAGTTATGGGTCCCAGAGCCACTATTTTGCTTCCATTAATTCACTCGGATCAAGACACTAATCCCTTTTAGCCAAACACATTTGTTGAACCCATCCGTTCAGGCAAGAAGCACAAACAACTCAAGAGAAGCAGACAGGCATGATTCATCCTTTTTGATGAATTTTTGGATGTTTTAAAAAATTGTTTTAATTTTGTTTCTACGGAGTGTGTTACCTAGAGAATTGCACTTTATAAAGCAATAAACAAACAAGCAAAACACAGTTCCCGCACGCAGCCAACAGCAACTTTAATAAAGAGGTGAAATGGTCAAAACCGCAGCCGTTGTTCACACCTCACTTACCCATCGCCTGGCACGGGATGGACACCGTCTTCTCCACTTCCACCACAATTCGGCTTTTGGGTTCAACAGTAAAATACGGTGGCTCTTAAGAAAGAGTAACCAGAACAGTGTCAGAGAATGAATTGATACAAGCCAAGCTAATTTATTTATTTAGTTATCTATTAACTTTATTTGTACCCCGCTAGCATCTCCCGAAGGACTCGGTGCGGCTTGCAAAGGCCAAGGCCACAATAAAACAACAATATAACAATTACATATAAACCAAAGCAAATCAAAAACATTAAAGCAATAACAGTAAACAGTAAAAACAGCACACCGTGACACAATAAAACTAGGCCGGGCAAATGTACTGGGTACAGATTAAAAAGTGCTGAGTATGCTGAGTGATATAAGGATTTTGGACAAGTGCAATGTGTGGACAATCTTAATCTCTAATAAAGTGCTTTTGGGACGTGTTGCTGGGGTTTCCTATTCTGGAAAGGCACACCGGAATAGCCAGGTCTTCAAGCTCTTCCTAAAGACTGCCAACGTAGGGGCTTGTCTGATGTCCTTGGGGAGGGAATTCCAGAGTCGGGGGGCTACCACAGAGAAGGCCCTGTCCCTCATCCCCACCAGCCGCTTGCGACGCAGGTGGGATCGTGAGCAGGGTCTCTCCGGATGAACGAAGAGAGCGTGCGGGTTCATAGACGGAGATGCGGTCACGCAGGTAGGCAGGTCCCAAACCGTTTAGGGCTTTGTAGGTGAGCACCTGCACCTTGAATTGGGACTGGAAAATGAACAGCAGCCAGTGGAGCTCCTTGAACAGGAGGGTTGACCTCTCCCTGTAAGGAGCACCAGTTAACATCCTGACCGCTGCCCGTTGGACTAGCTGAAATTTCCAAGCCGTTTTCAAGGGCAGCCCCACGTAGAGCGCATTATGGTAGTCCAATCTACAGGTGACCAAGGCATGGACGACCACGGCCAGATCAGCCTTTACGAGGTACGGTCGCAGTTGGCACACGAGTCTCAGTTGTGCAAAAGTCCTCCCGGACACCGCCGACGCCTGAGCCTCAAGCGTAAGTGATGAATCCAAGAGGACTCCCAAACTGCGGACCTGTGACTTCAGGGGGAGTGTAACCCCGTCCAACACAGGTTGCCACCATATACCCCGATCCGGTTTTCGATCGACCAGAAGGACCTCTGTCTTGTTGAGATTGATCTTCACCTCTGTCTTGTCAGGATTGATCTAATCCACTTGTGTACTCACATTGTGCCAAGAAGGATGCTGTTCTTCAGTTGGTAACTTCCCAAATGAAACAACAATTTCTTCTAACTATTTGGTGTCTGTTAGAACTGGCCTGGGCAAATTTGGGCCCTCCAGGTGTTTTGGACTTCAACTCCCACAATTCCTAACAGCCGGTAGGCTGTTAGGAATTGTGGGAGTTGAAGTCCAAAACACCTGGAGGGCCCAAGTTTGCCCAGACATGTGTTAGAACAGTGATGAGCAACCTTTTGAGCTGAGTGTGTCAAAATTCGCCAAAACAACCAAACATAACTTGGGTGGGGTGTCACTTTGAGGGGGGGAAAAAGCATAATTATAATATACAATTTTTAATAAACCAAAAACTAATTGTTTAACTTACCTGCTTAGTGTAAATTAAGATGGCTGCCACTGTTTCTAATGGCAGAAATGGCACCCATAGCACGGACCCTTGCCTCTCCCAGCCTCCCCCTCACTTATTTCAGTAATGATGGTAAATTAGATAGCCACGACACCCCAGGACAGTAGATTGCATGAGGGTTGCTGTGGTTATGAGGTTGCTGGTAACGGCGATCATAGGGCCCCCAAAGATGCATCCCCGCGGCATTCTGCTCCGCCGGCTGGAAGTGAGGTCAAAGATCCCCTAACGGCCTAACCACAAGTCCCAGAACTAGACGCTTTGTGCCAGAGTTCTGTTATTTTGGCCTACAGACCTCTGGCACAGCATGTCTACACTACAGCAAATGTTTCATCCTCGACTATTGCACTTGGCCTTGCAGAAGCCAAGGATGAAACGTCCTTGGCATGCGACCCCATACTTCTCTATATGTGGCTGCGTGTCATCAAAAATGGCTACGTGTGTCAGTGCTGACACGCATGTCATAGGTTCGCCATCACGGTGTTAGAAGATGGTCTTTAAAATGTAGTTTCCAAAAACTATTTGCAATCTAGGTCATATTCTGTACAAAAATTTTAATCACTTTCTGCTCAGGAATGTTTCTTTCTTTCCATGGAAAATAATATTTCAATTCAGAAATACTGTTTGCTGTAACATGAATGCCTTTCCTGTGCAGAAAACATTTAATTCTATGCAAATCAATCATTCTGTGCAAAGAACAGAATTTTGTGTACAAATTGTTGGTTTTTGCAAAAAATCACTATGTCCAAATTCAGCGCAGAATAAGTATCAAACAAGTATTGTGAATTTTCTCATTTTTTTTGTGCAGAAATCATTTAATTCTATGCAAAGCAATCATTCTGTGCAAATAATAGAATTTGTGTACAAATTGTTGTGTTCTGTGAAAAGTCACTATGGCCAAATTCTGCGCAGAGTGTCAAACAAGTATTGTGAATTTTCTCATTCTTTTTTGTGCAGAAATCATTTAATTCTCTGAAAATCAATCATTCTTCTCTGCAAATCAATCATTCTGTGCAAAGAACAGAATTTTGTGCACAAATTGTTGGTTCTTGCAAAAAGTCACTATGTCCAAGTTCTGCACAGAATAAGTATCAAACAAGTATTGTGATTTTTTTCATTCTTTTTTGTGCAGAAAACATTTAATTCTATGCAAATCAATCACTCTGTGCAAAAATAGAATTTTGTGTACAAATTGTTGTGTTCTGCAAAAAGTCACTATGTCCAAATTCAGCGCAGAATAAGTATCAAACAAGTATTATGAATTTTCTCATTCTTTTTCCAAAACTTTTTGCATTTTAATAAATCTTTCCATCCCTGGTGCCTAAAGGCGTCCCTATTCACACCAGTAGAGGAATTCAACCTTCTATGCTAAACCTATTTATGAAACTAGGAGGAATGTATTTACGGCAGTGTTAACCAGCTTGACTTCTGTTTTGGGTTTACGGTTTCTTTTAAGTGATAGCCTCATAAAACAACCCCAACAATTATATTTGATAATAAATATAAATTTCAAGGAGTAGAGAGCAACTACCAATTTATATTTAGAGTGTTACACAGCAAATTAACATCAGAGTACAGGCCCTTTTCATTTCACAGGCGTGAATGAGGGTATATTTTAATTCTCCTCTTAGAAAACTCATCCCGGGAGGTTCATAAAGGTTTTTATTTACAGCAACACATTTTATAGAAGGGACCACCTCTGCTTCCAAACACCATCCCATGCAGCTTTGGGTATAAAGCACCATAGCACAAGAATAAATCTATATCAGAAAATAGTACACAGAAGTTTTTATAAGCATCATAACAAGTTGGCTGTAAACAGATTTCATCACATTGTGTTTGAAATGTGGAACATTCAAAGGAAGCCACGGAATGTCAATTAGTGAACCGGCTTCGATTGGGGGAACGGAGTGCAAGTTTTCAATATTCATAGCACTCTTCAGAATTAGATCTCTGAAACATTAAAGACTGCCTTCAGGCAAGATATGTAAAAAAAATTATTATAATTATTACAATTATAAAAGGACACTAACTTTTGAAGCAACCTACAATAACAGAAGTTGATGCATAAGTTACAATTTATTTATTTATTTATTTATTTATCGTGCCATCGGCAACCAGAACATTGTATTACATTTCTAACAGAACAAAACAGACAAACAGATAAAAAAAACACACACACAAATTTTGCAAACTTGGTAGTTGATTAAATGTCCTTTGACCAGTATCTGGCCACTTGGAGTGCCTCTGGTGTTGCCGCAAGAAGGTCCTCCATTGTGCATGTGGCAGGGCTCAGGTTGAATTGCAGCAGGTGGTCATGGTTTGCTCTTCTCCACACTCGCATGTCATGGATTCCACTTTGTAGCCCCATTTCTTAAGTGTGGCTCTGCATCTCGTGGTGCCAGAGCACAGTCTGTTCAGCGCCTTCCAAGTCACCCAGTTCTGTGTGCCCAGGGGGAGTCTCTCATCTGGTATCACCCATGGATTGAGGTGCTGGGTTTGAGCCTGCCACTTTTGAACTCTCGCTTGCTGAGGTGTTCCAGCGAGATCTAAGAAAACTATTTCTTGATTTAAGTCGTTGACGTGCTGGCTGGTACCCAAACAAGGGATGAGCTGGAGATGTCTCTGCCTTGGTCCTTTCACTATTGGCTGCAACTTCCCAGCGGATGTCAGGTGGTGCAATACCGGCTAAGCAGTGTAATTTCTCCAGTGGTGTAGGGCGCAGACACCCCGTGATAATGCGGCATGTCTCATTAAGAGCCACATCCACTGTTTTAGCGTGGTGAGATGTGTTCCACACTGGGCATGCGTAATCAGCAGCAGAGTAGCATAGCGCAAGGGCAGATGTCTTCACTGTGTCTGGTTGTGATCCCCAGGTTGTGCCAGTCAGCTTTCGTATGATATTGTTTCTAGCACCCACTTTTTGTTTGATGTTCAGGCAGTGCTTCTTGTAGGTCAGAGAACGGTCCAGAGTGACTCCCAGGTATTTGGGTGCGCTGCAATGCTCCAGTGGGATTCCTTCCCAGGTAATCCTCAGACCTTGGGATGCTTGTCTGTTCTAAGAACAGACAAGCATCCCAAGCTAAGAAGTTACAATAACAGAGAACATTTTAACTACTTTCTATCTCTTAGGGGTATTATTTATTATTTATTTAGAGTTTCTATAACCCGGTCCTCTCAACCTCCGAGGAGGGACTCAGGCCGGCTAACAACATAAAATTCAATACAATAAGAAAAACATTATAAATCATCAATATAAAATACATTAAAATACAATTCATACAAGTTACAGCAAAAATCAGTTCGTCAAAAAGAACACAAATTCATCGCCATCCGCCAGAAAGGTCAGCAGTTATTGACTCAGTCATCATTCTGCAAATGCAGTATCCCAAAGCCATGTTTACCAGCTTTCTAAAAGTTAGGAGG